GGGATGTCTGGAGGGGCAGACAAGGGAAGGCAAGGAAGGGAATGCCAAGTCTGATCCTCGATGCCGGCTCCAGGAACCTCCGTCCTCCCAGGAGCCATGTCCAAAGCCCCCAAGCCCGACCCCTGGTGCCCCAGGACCATCAAAGTGCCTCAGTTTCCCTTCAGCCCTGTGACCTGAGGGCTGGCGGGTGGCTTACACCCACGGGGTGGGTGAGGTGCTTGGGTGGTGTGCGGCCACCGAAAACGCCTTGTTTCCATGCAAGTGAACCAACACCATCTCCGTGTTGCACCGTGGCCACCAACACCGCACAGTTTTGGCCCAGCCTGACTGACACCCCCCAAAAATGGTCCAGGGGACTGTCCCGAGCAGATGGACAAGGCCACCTCGCTTTGGAGGGCTATAGAGTTGTGTAGAAGGTTCAAGCAGGAGGGAGGCATCACTTCAAACCCGGCGCAGACATCTGCAGGGCAGCGCTTCCATGTCTCCCTCCCCGCTGGAGCGGGCTTTGAGCTGCCGTGGTGCTCTCAGCATCTTCGGGGCTGAGCCATGACTCACTCCCTTCCCATCCCCGCGGCTGGCTGGTCGCCCAAGCATGCCCTCACCCTTACCGTGACACCCTCCCAAGCACTAGCGATTTGCAGCTCGAGGAATTACGGCATCAGACGTTTGGAGTTGTGGTTTATAGGCTTTTTTTCCCCTCCCCCCCCCTCATTCTGCTCACTCTCAACTCCCACAGGTTCTCAGCCTCTCCCAAGCCCCACGGCAAGGAGTCCCACGGTCAGCGGGGCAGCACTTGGGGGTTCAGCATCTCCAAGAAGGCCAGATGCCAGTACCCACACTGCTCCTCACCCCTCCCTGCTGCCTGTCAGGTTGTTACACACCCCAAGCTCTCCACGCCGCTGTGGGGCTGCAGGACCACGGCTCAGCCCTTGATGGTACTGACCCACGGCTGGGACTTGGGCTGCAGAGCTCAGGTGGGAAACACAGGACCGCAAGACTGCAAAATTGCTTTGAGGAGCACGAAAGTAGGTTAAAACGCCACAAGGACGTGGTCAAGGCAGAGAAGATGTTTGCTTTCTGGCTTGGCTGCTATCCACCGCACTACGCTGAGCTCTTCCCAAGATGCCTTCATTCATCATGCAAGAGGAAGAAACCCAAGTGTCCTAGATACTGTGGCAGCATTTCAGGAGCATTGGAGGCAACGTGTTGCGTTAGAAATGGGTCAGGGGATGAGGCACGCGTGATGGGATGGATAATGCATCCCTCCTCCTGCCCCTGAGGGCCAGACCCTAACCTACACACACTAGAGGTCATCGTAGCGTGAAGCTACGTGGCGTGGGTTACATCATCCAAGCACCTCTCCTTTCACGCCTCCCCAGCGGACATGATGTGTGGGGTTTGTGTCACCCCTTGTGCCTCAGTTTCCCATGGGCTGAGCACAGGGAATAACAACAGAGCTCTGCGGTGGCTTTCCAGTCCCCTCAGATGAGAGGTCCAAGAGAGGATGGTGGAGGATGGATAGATAGATGGATGGATAGACGGGTGGGTGGGTGGATGGATGTTAGATGTTTGGACAGATGGATGATGGACCAGTGGATGGATGAATGGATAGATGGGTGGATAGATGGATGGGTGGGTGAATGGATAGATAGATGGGTGGGTGGATGGATGGATGGATGGGTGGGTGGGTGGGTGGGTGGATGGATGGATGGATGGATGGATGGATGGAAGAACAGGCTCTGGAGCCGTAACCCTCTCCTCCTCACACCACATCTGCCTCAACCCCAGGCACCCTAAGTTTCAGCATGCTCCTAAACACGTGACAAGTAGCAGGTGAGCTGAGGGACAGGTCCACAGCTGATGTGGACCATCACGGCTCTGGGGACACATCTCCCCCTGGTATAAATGAGGGCAGACTCCCAGCTGGAGGAATCACTGATCACCAGTGTGGTCAATGAGGGTTTGCTGATTTACATCATTAATCTCCAACTGGTTTCTGAGGGAGGAGCCCTCCTCACCATACTGGTCAGGAACATCACCTATTTAAGGAGGAGAAGGCCAAGGCCATAGTTTGGGCTCTCCTGGCTTTTCTAACTTCTGGCTCCAAGTCAGTTCCTCCAAAATCAGGTGAGTGCGTGTACCATCATCCTGACTGACTAGAGTTGATGTTGCTTCTTCTTCCATCTAGACAAAGTTTGCCTCACCGCTTCTCCAAATATTTAAGTGTCCTGACCGCCCTGTCCTTGCTTTTGTTGCTCCATGGGATGCAGACCTCTTCAGATGTTAGCAGGCTGCTGTTTTTATTGGAAATATAATCCAGATAACCTTTCTCAGGGCTCGTCCTCCCCTGCCTTGGACTTCCACCCTGCCCTGGCCAGCCAACCTGAGCCACCTCACAGTGTGTAATCAAATGCAGAGGAACCAGCCCTTTGGCTCTAATTAGTTTTGCATGATTGTTGGAGGAGGTGCGAGGGGGGGGGAAGAAATCCATTTTCATAAACAGAAAGGATTTATGCCGCTCCTTCTTGCCTTCCCTCCCCTTCTGAGTCCCAAAGCGCTTTGCTCGGGGCTAGCGGGGAGTCGTTTTATGAATGGTTTAGATTGAGCGATGCATTATTAATAATGGCCAATCAAGCAAGGAGCATATTATATATCATTTCAGGAGATTCGCTTAATTCAGTAAAGTTATTTATTGCCCTAAAAAAAACCAAACCAACCCCAACAGAACAACTGAAAAAACTAAACCAGAGAGACTCCAGCTCTCCCAGAGAGACTCCAGCTCTCCCAGAGAGACTCCAGCTCTCCCAGAGAGACTCCAGCTCTCCCAGAGAGACTCCAGCTCTCCCAGAGAGACTCCAGCTCTCCCAGAGAGACTCCAGCTTCTTCCCTACCCCTCTGGCTTGGAGGATGTCATGGTTTAGGCAGAGGGAGACTTTCATAGGGTGACCATGGGTGGAAGGGAGGTCCACGCGGGGCTGTACCAGCCTGCGAAGGTGGAGAAGTTGCCTGTGGGAGGTGGTGGGACCTTTGGGGAGCCCTCACTCTGCAGGGGCACCCCAACCGCAGCCCTTTCCTCCGGGGTTGGGGCTTGTTGGATGCTGCTCCGCTCGCCCCGCGGTGACAAACCCTTTTCTAGCCGGATGAATGAGCTTTATGGCAGCTCAGGGCGAAGAAACAGCTAATCTGGCTCCCGCAGCCCATTGACTTCGCTATTGTTTTACAAGACTTTGATGAGGCCAGTGACAGCAGACAGATGGGGTCTGCTCTCCTCCGGCTGTGCCCCTTGTAGAGGCCGCTCCCCATGCACAACCCTGTATCAGACACCAGAGAATCCCCCCCCCACCCCCGGGTGAGGATGGCAGCGTCTGAATTTGGCCACACGCCCCTGTGTGCCAACCTGGGAGCTTCTTTTGGGATCGCTCCTTAAAAACGGGGCCGTACAGTGCTGGAGCCGTCCTGGTTGCAGCAGGACTTTGATAGCCGGGGAAGGCAGCCTCGTGGCCCACCTCTGCCTCGCTGGCCAAGACCCAGCTCCAACGGGGAGTTCACGGCTGTCTCTGGGCCACCTCTTCTTCCTGGGGGGCTCCCAGAAGATTGGGGGGGGGAGTGTGTGTCATGTTTCCTCCCCATCTCCCGCTGGTTTTCCATACCTGGCAGCTCCCACCGCACCCTCTCGGAGAGGACACCTTCGCCACATCCCTTTCCCTGCTCATCGCCACCCAGAGGACCTGTTCATCCCTCCCCTCCCCTTCTCCCTCTGTTCCCAGGACTGCAGACCAGAGGCCCCGGTGATGGCCGCAGTACCTCCCAGCTGTAAGAAGGACCACCGGTGGATGCGTGTGCACCGAGTGGGTGTGCGTGGGCGTGTACCAGCCACGGTAGCCAGCCCTGGCACCCCCGGCCGTCCGCGGTTGGACATAGAGGGCCACCTGGCGGTGCGTCCCCCGCACTGCGTTTGTTTTTTTTTTTTTGGGGGGGGGGGGGGTAAGGTACCTGCTGCTGCCCGGGCAGGGCGAAGGGGATTCCCAGTATGTCCCCTCCCGTCTGACTGGGGAAAAGGAGGGGTGGAATCACCCTGATAAATTACACTGGGCTGCGCTATGTGATTTATTTTATAAAGATATTAATTTGATTAAGTGTTGTTTGTTTATTTTCCTCTCCCCTTAGAGCTGACTCAGGGTCCTGAACCTTTTAGGCGCCGTGCTGGGAGCGGAGATGGTTGACGAGCATCCCTGCATCCCTGGATGAGCATCCCTGCATCCTGCATCCCTGGACGAGCATCCCTGCATCCTTGGCATGGTTAGCCCGAGACCCGGCCACGCTCAGCTCACGCCACGGTTGCCCTCATGCCTCCTCCAGCTTCCAGAGGATGAGGTTGCGCTGGGCCAGGATCTTGGCCACCCTCCTGGTGAGCAGCTTCTGCTGCACCAGGGGCCGGAGGATGGTGTAGCTCTGCAGGGTGCAGTGGGTGAGCATCGTCCCCACCTCGGGTTGAACAGGGAGCTCCAGGGCTCCCCAAAGCTCCTGCAAAGCCTTGGCTGTGGCCAGAGCGCTGCCCTCATTGAGTTGCAGCTGCAGGTGCCTTCTCAGCAGGTTCTTCAGGTTGTAGGAAGGGGCACCAGGCAGCTTTTCCTTGACCAAGGACAACATATCCACATAACCACCCACAACGTGGCAGAAGTCCACTTGCCTCCCTGTGGCATCCAGGGCTTTAAAGAGAACGGGCAGGTCCGGTGCCCAGAAGTTATAGACGACGAGGATGGGCCTGGGGATCAGGGAGAGGTACCAAAGTAGGTTCTGCATCCCCACCTCCATGGGGACACCCTGGGAGAGCAGTGCCAGCACCGACTCGGGCGTCTGAATCAGTGTCTTGAAGGTGCGCTCTCCGTTGGCTGCCGCCACCTCCGTGATGTGCTGGGCTGTGGAGGGGAATGGATGGGGCTGGAGTAAGTATTTGGGGTTGTCCCTCTCTGCCCCCCAGCCCCCTGTGCCCGGGAAAGGCTCTGCTCACTTTTCCGGTCAACCTTCACACTGAGGAACACCAAGGTTCTTGGCTCCAACCCGTTGTCCAAAGGGCTGGTGGGACCAGTGCTGTGATGGGGTGAGGTGCCGCTCGTGGACCACGTGGGGCTGGAGGGTGTTTTGATGTCCTTGGGTTTGCTGAAGGAGGCCTGCAAGAGATCGGAGAAGAGGGACAGGTCCCATCTGCTTGCTTGGACCTGGTTGAGAAGACATGAGGAGCACCCTTGGGTGCACCATTGGCTGTGGGCAAGGACATGGTTGCGTGCAATGGCATGAAACCCACGGGGTCTGATGTCCCAGTGCTGTCAGGGATGGGTTGGGTGTGTGTTGTGTCTCGGGAGTGGGTTGGCCATGGGGAGCCCCACTGAGAGCCCAAAACCGGGGTCAGGGCCAGGGGAGCAAGAGCAGAACTGTGGCTGAAGCTCCTCCTAAGCAGAGTGTGGGATCCAGGCAGTGGCCAGAGGGACACGACACACGGTTTTGGGGACTTGCTGTCCCTTTCTGCACGTTTCATGTGGCTGCAGCTCAGGCAGGGACACAAGCGTGGCTGAGCAACCTCACCCCACGAGATATCGCTAGACTTAAAGACCTGGTTGGTGTCTGGAGGAAAAGGGGACCGAATGGGGCCAGGAGAAGATTTGGTGCCTTTCCAAAGGGACGGGAGAAGGGTGTGGTAGTGGTGGTGGCAGTGCCCTGCGTCCCCCTCGCCTGGTTGTCCCCAGAGTGACCCGGCTGGCCCGAAGGGAGTTAGATGAACCAAACTCGGTGACAAAATGTGATGGCAGATGCTCTTGTTACCCAAACCAGCAACAAGCACATTGAAGGGTTAGGCAAAGAGGGAAAGCATACGGGATTTTTTTTTGGGGGGGGAGGAAAATCACCCCCGTGGAGACATGCGCTCGTAGCCCCGTGGTGGCCATGTGGGCGATGGATCCCAGGCAGAGCCAGGTGCCGGCGATGCTCTTGTGGCTTCAGCTGGGTGTGTAAGGCATGACAGTCCCCAGGTGACCCCACAAAGGTTCCTCCCCAACCCCAAAACCTCCTCGGAGAAGATGCCTGAGCCTCTGGGCAGGTTCTCCCTCACCCTCCACCCCCTGAAGGCTGCAGCCTCTCTGGGCTTCATCCCACCGCTCAGCCTTTTTCCTCCCTCAGCTATCTCCCCCCCTCCCAGCACCTTTTCCAGCCTTTAACCCAATTTTTCCCCCTCTTCTCAGGGCTGCGCTTCCCAAGCGCTCAGCACCAGAGCTGCTTTATACCCCTGGGACCTTTTTTCTTCTTTTTCAGCTACACCTTTAAATCCGCATCGTACCAAAGGACGCCTGACTGACACAGGGATTTCTCACACTAACATCCCCCCACCAAAAGCCCCAGCCTCGAAATTTATTTTTTTTTTTTTTTTTTAGCACTAGCAAGGAGTGGGGAGAAGGTTTTAGTCCCACAACTTTCCCCCCCCACCACCCTGTTAGAGATGAGCAAGGAAAAACAGCGAAGGAAAAACGAATAAGGAAGCCAGCAGCGGGCTGAGATTTAATCTGGAAACAGCTTTATTGAAGAGTAAGAAGAGCTTCTGCAGTAGTTTATACAAAAAAAAAAAAAAATTTGGGGCTGTTAACCCCTCACTAAGCCAGTGCTGGAAACCCCCTCCACCCCGATTCCCAAATCGGCTGCGCTCGCCTCCGTTTCCGATGGGATCTCAGGAGGGATCCCCGTACCCTTGGTTCATCTAACCACCTCGGCCAGGGCCACCTGGGTTGCGCCACACCAGTTTGCAGCGTCGGCGCTGCGAAATGTCACCGGCAGAGAGCTTGGCAAGGTCACTTTGGGATGCTGGGATGGTCCCTACCTGCTCTGGTGGCTTCTCAGCCTGGGTTGTCCTAAGGGCCACCACCCCACAGCGACTCAAGGTGGGGTTTGCTGCCTGTGAGAGAGGACCCTTGGTTGCTCCACAACACCAGGAGACACCGGCAAAGGTCCACCCAGGAGGACTAGATTTGGGGTGGCCCGGATTCCCTGTCACCTTGGAGGAACCGAAATGGAAGAGGAAGCTGGAAGTGAGTATCTGGCTGATGTTAGGAAAGGAGAAAGCTTGGGTTGGAGGGAAGGGAAAGCCACCCCAGAGATGATGGGGCGCGGGTGCCTCTTCTGCCTGCGGTGGAGCTCAGCAAGGAGGGAGGCCCGGCGGTACACTCACCGCCGTGTCTTCTTCGCTGTCCTCCGAACTGCTGATGATGATGCTGGTGTCTTCTGAGGAAGGAAGAGGAAGATGCTGAAGCTGCAAGACTCCCATTTTTTTCTTGAATCCCACTTATTTTCCCATGGGATGACTGACCTCATCTCCAGCTGAGGGCAAACTCTACCAGGACCACAAACCACCCAGCCCTTGGGTGCTCTCGGATGCAGCCCAACGTGGAGGGGGGAGGACAACCTCTCCACTGCTGCTTCACCCCGTGGACCCTTTACCACCCGCTCCAGAAGATGCATTTCGTCCTCCCTCCTGTTTGCAGAGCTGAGGGGGATGCTGGAGCGGGGCTGGGTGAGCTGGAGGAAGAAAAATTGTAGGTTTTTCGTGGTGGTTTTTTTTTTTTCACCCAAGGAAAATCCAGAGCTTCTGGAGCAGGAGGTAAGGGGGTCTCCCTGCACACCTCCTGCTATGCTCTTCCCTAGGTTGGGGGTTTTGGCTACCTCGGAGGTAGGACGTGGAGCTGGATGGAGCATCCGCGGCCACCCCTGAGCATTGCTCTCGTGTCCACCCCTCGGGAACCACCTCCCACCCTCTGCTTCTCTGACCCAGAGGGGTTTGGCCAAGGCTCTGAGCGCACAGGGGGTGCCCAGAGGCTGGGAAAGATGGGGTGGACCCCCATAAAGGTAACGAGGAGGGGCATGACCCCGGTCCCCACCTGTATCATCAACGTGGCTGTTGGTGGCGGTGACGCTGCCGCAGTTCTGGGGCGGCGTGGAGGTACTGGGCCCCCTTCTATCATCCCACTGGTTTGAACTGGCATCGCTGGGGGCCGGCGTGGTGTCGTACTCCAGCTTCAGCATCTTGGGTGACATCTGGCTGCCCTGCTCCGTGCAGTGCGACCTCCGCTTGGGCCACGCGGTGACGGGGAGAGCCTGGAGAGAGAGAAGAGCACAGAGGATGTAAGGTGCAGGGGTGACATCTCCTGGTGTCCAAGGGACCTTGGCCTGGCCAGGGTGGTTCTTACCGGGCTCCTGTGCATCTCCTCGAGGCTGATGGTGAAGGAGGGCAAGATGCTCGGGCTCTCGGGCTCGGCTGGTTCCTCTTGCTGCAGAGAGAGCACAGAGCAGCGTTAGGGTGAACTCTGAGGCCACCGACCCCTCTGTAGGGCTGGAGTGTCCCCGAGCAGCGGATATCTCACCAGGTTGTTCTCCAGGGCGACCTCGACTGCGGGGACAGCTTGGGAATTGGTACCTGCAATGGAAAGAGGAGGGCTGCAATCCCAAATCGGAGCCTCCGGCACCTCCCACTCGGCCCCGGCAACAGCCAAGCTGGGAAAAACCCACCCAGCACCTGCAGCAAGGAAGGGGACACCTCTGGTCTCCTTCCCACCCCTTGGGTTTGGGATGGCCCTGAGGGGTTTAGGAGCCACTGGGAACCCAGAAACCAGCACCACCACTGCCTGTCAGATTGGTGGGAGACCAAAAAGGGGTTCTGGCCATGTAAACAAAGGAGCAAATCTTGGCCCTGGTGGAACTAGACTAGATGATCTCCAGAGGTCCCTTCCAACCCTGACCCTTCTGTGAACTAAGCACCCTACAGGAGTGAACCTGAGCTCGTGTGGTTGGATCCATCCTCACGGCAAGTTCTCACCTGGTTGCCCCATGACGCGCTCCACCAGTCCCTGCAGCCTGGCTCTGCATTCGGCAAAGTCCCCGGGTGGCGTGTGGTCCCCGGCCGCTGCCGGCGGCTGCAGCC